GTCTCCTCAAAATTGTTTTTAAAAATTTAAAAAAGAGGTAACAACTCAATTAGTTTGAGAGTTATCAGAATTGTGTTGAGTTGAGACATTTCCGCACATTATTGAGATGTTTTTCTTTATGAATAATTTATATTTCGTTTTATCTCTCCACTAACTACTTTTTACCGTTATTGTGAGCCATTTTCATATACAACTAAAATGGTATAAAAACAATTTATTTTTATTTAAATTTTTTTATCACTTGAAATATATGCAAAGGCACTACAAATTGTAACCATCCCCCCCCCCCTTCCTGCTGAGGCTGGGTATAGAGCATGATGAAAAATTCTTCAGGACAAATCAACCCAAACCTGGGCCCCCCTCCCCCTGCTCCAGCCGCTTTATCTAGTGTTGCCCCCTACAGGGGCTGACAAACCAGCTGGCCCTAGGACTAAGAAAAGGCGGGATCTGGGTTTAGAACACAGAGAGGAAACTGAAAGGAGAAAGAAGCCAGTTGTGCATATCAGTCCTCAGAGAGTATAGGATAAAGTAATTCGCCAACTCCCCACAGTTGTAGGATGGTCAATCCACTAGGAACTGCTGGGTCGAATTGGGGCTGTGGGAAAAACCAGATTACTCTGGTTAAGGAAGAGTCTTAAAGCTCTGGTTAAAGAAAGAGTCTTAAAACTCTGGTAAAAGAAGAGTCTTGGAACTGAGATTCTAAATAGAGAAGAGCACAGAAGTTGTGATTCTAAATAGAGCAGGCAGGGAGAGTGGATTCCTCTGTCTTGCAAGAAGATCCCAGGAAACCAAAGCTGTGGATCTGATTGAGACTGTAGTAGCAGTATATCTACATCGCTAATTTAGTTCTTTGTCTTTTATTGGTGAAAGACTATATCGTTTAGAGTATTGTTACCCTCCTTTGGGGTGTATCCTTTCTATAGTAAAACAATATAGATTTTGACAAAGTAAAGTACTGTAACTTTAATAGATTTATTTCTGATGCAATCTTGCAAAATATAAAAGGGAGGGTTAAATAAACAGAATTTAAGAGGATTGGGAGGGGGGGGGGGGATCAATCCAATGAAAATATAGATATTTTTAAAGAAACGACTTCCTCTCCCCTTGAAGCTTACTCACGCCACAGTATTAAGAGGTAGTGTCTTAAGAAAATTACATAAATAAGCTTTTAATAATTGTAAGATGGAAGTGTGTTCTAATGATACAAAAGGTCGAATTTTTCATCTCAGTTTTAAACTAGTCAAAACTTATTATAAAAAGTCGTAAAACGTCGACTTTTTCATCCCAGTTTCGTGGTAGTCATAACCTGGTACGCAAAAGTTGCAAAATCGTCGACTTTTTAATCCCAGTTTTAACTTGGAATAAAAATTCAATTTTTATGACTTTTTTTCAAGTTTTGAACTAAGGTTTCCAACGAATTTTCGTTGAACCAAATTTGCTTATAGTTTGGAACACTAGGCCTGGTGACGATCTTATAGAATTTCGATTCATACCCCTGGGGATACTCGATCTGGTCCATCGAGTGATTGATAGTAATTTTGTGAAATTCATTATATTGAAAAAGAAAACTTTTTGCATATTTATTAAATCTAGTTGTTTACTTTGATGGTATTAAGATGCCCAGAGGTCAAACACTTAATCATCGAATTCAAAAGTTATAAGAGTAGACATAGAGGTTAATCCTTACAGATTAGCAGATACATACCTGATTAATAACAGGATCTTCGTTCTTTTCGATTTAAGAGATATTATTCTCTTCATGTACATTCAAGTTCTTTCCTGCATGTCATTTTCACTGAAAATTTTACTAAAAATAATTAATTTTTGGTTTTAAATAACAGGCATAACTCCATATCTTTTGCTCCGACAAATGTTCAAAGGGATATTTTATTTAATATACTTTCCTTACTTTTATTTGACTGTGTTATTGAAATCAAAAGTTCAGTTTTAAAATTTGAAATGTTAATTTTTTCGTTGTTGAAGACATTTTGCATAAAATAGATTTTACATCTTAAATTCAATTTAGGAAAATGGTTCTTTATAGATTTATGACATCTTTTTGCAATAAGGAAATATTTTATCTAAGATTAGAAAATATCTTACAGTCACAAGGTATAAGTAACTAAATATATTTATTTTACTTTAACAATTTTCGAGTTTATATATATTGTTATAATGTTGTTTTGATATTTTTCACTGTATTTTGTAGATATAACATTTAGCTTATGTTTTAATTTTATGGTTTGAATTCCTAGACACAGTGAAACCTTAATTAGAGTAATTTATTGAAGAATTAGAATTAAACACTCTCTGGGGTTTAAGCCTAATCCTAATACAGGGAACTAGTCTTTAACATTCAAGCCATTATTTCAAATGTCATAACATGTGAAATTGTATATATAATGTGGTGGATTCATCTTTACTAGTATTATATTATGATTTTAAGGTTTACATTCGAATTTGGGCTCCCAGTTTATAATTCTGAAATTACCTTTTTTTTATAATTTTTAAAGGTTCCAAAAGGTATTTAAAAAAATATAAAATTCTGGAATGGAAACTGCATATTTTAAAATTTTCCTTGTGATTACCAGAAATTATCCAGATTCAATTACATATACAATTATTGAAAATTAAATCTGGTTCAGCCGGCATTTTGGCATTTGTCTGATATAAATTGTCAAGTTTGGATTGAATTTTAGACAATAAAGCAGTGAGGGATAAAATTAATCAATTAAAGGGAAATGGTTTATTAGCTCTAAAGAATGGGAAACAGCAAGGTTTGAAAATATATTTTTTAATTTTTCAACTCTAGACATCTGATGTATACACTCCAGGTGGAGATCCCTCCCATCTATAATCTGCACCAGGTTCACCCGTTCCAGACTACAAAACAAATTGGGCTTTAAAGTTTTTTATTCTATTTTATATTCAATAAATGTCAGAACTGCCATTACAGCCATATCATGGGCAGCCGTAGTACATTTGAATTTCCGAGCCGGGTCAACCTTTCCGGTCCCAGTTTATACTGTATCGCCCGGACATTGGGTAAATAAAGCAGACACTCAATAGGACAAGCCGGTGCAACAAGGTTGACGCGGTCAGACTTTAGGTTGTTTTTACTTTTACTAATGGGTTAATTTTAAAAAGATGAAATGTTGAAATGTATTTTCTCTTCTAAATCTTGTTTTTATCTCAAGCCAAATTCTAAATTTATTCATGAAGAAATTTATAAATATTTTATAGGATGGGCAGAAAGGAACTAGTTCACCCTGGAATTTGTTAAATCTAAATACAAATAGTTTATTTTTCTGAACTTGTGAATGAAATCTCATTTAAAGATTTTCTTCCAAATTTAATCAAGCTTCTGGGATTCTATTCAAGTCAAGAAATATAGGCTTTTAGTTTGCACTGCCTAGGGTTGGGCAAATTTTTGTTAACTTCAACAACAGAAATTAACTGAAAGTTATGTAAATCAACGCAAATAACAGTTATTTTATTACTGTATATACTTATAACACTTTTTAAGTTTTAACCCTATAATAGGGTTAAAAAAATTGTTTTAGTTTTTGACAAATATTAAGAAATGTTTCTAAATCCATTTTCAAGGGCTTTTTAAAAATGTAGTTTTTAGATATGTCGATTTATTTATCTCAAAAAAGTCATTTTAGATTTCTTTTTAACACGAACCAGCATTTTTGTTGCCCTGTAATCTACCCAATGAATTAAAAAATGATTTACTATAAATTCTTATAAGTCAAAATTGCAAGGTTTTAGTGTGTGACGGAGCTAAAGACGACCTGTCTCTGAGCTTTAAGCCTCCACGTAGCCGGATATTATATTGTGATAGGTACTGTTTCCAGTTACAAGTTTATATAGATATATTTCTGTAAATAAATAGTTAGTTCGTTTTGATTCTCGTCTCGCCTTAAGTGTCAGAATTGAGAGCGCAATGACAAAAAAGCCCGTGGCGAAATCATTCTGTTTTAATTAAAGCGCTCTTTTCAGGAATTTGAAGTTGATAAAACTGATTTTTTAATTGTTTCAAAGCAGAATTGGCTCTTTGCCCAATATATACCAAATTCTTTATAAATCCTATGTAGCGTGTCATATTAAATTAAAACAGATGATGCACCAATTGTGTATGTATAAAAAACCCTGTATAATTATCTGAGGATACAAATATGATGTATAATTGTTATGGTATTGGCAAATTTGACTGAGTATTGCATCTTGAAATATCGCAAAGTTGGTGAATGAGTGATTTTAAGATAGATTTAGTATAATGAGTCAGTAGTTGAATAATCATTAGACTTTGTGATATTTCAAGATGCAACACTCAGTCAAATTTGTCAAAACTTTCATTGTAGAAAAGTTTAAGAATTCAACACACAAAATATTAATCTTAAGTAGAATTGAAAAAATGGTTTGAGTTGTTCTTTTTATCGTGACGCAGCTGTATTTTTAAAAATCACACTTTAAAGGCCCTAAATATACCATTTAAAAAGTAGTTTTTCCCGGAAGAGTCAAATGGGGTGGTACAGAAAGGGAAATAGTGGTGGCTCATCGCTGCCGGAAGAGAAAAAAGCTAATATGTGGCACGGAAAGGGAAATAGTGGTGGCTCATGGCCGCCTGCCTTCCCCCGCTCGTCATACGAAACATGACAGATGGTTTGAAATGTCTTTTTGTATGATGTATTAGGTTGTTTGATACCAAAACGAACAATAAAGAATATTATATGGCAGTCATATTATAGTTAAATTGATTTCAAAGTAAAATATATTTGATTAAAAGTTTTTTAACGAAATAGATATATATTAGTGTATGGAAGAAGACATTCAAAGCTATTTACCAACTGTCATGTTTTTTGAGACACCCTGTAACTAATCATTGGCAGAAGATAAAGGGTCAACGTTGCTGGTGAGAGGGGGGGGGGGGGGGGGGGGGGGTAGGAGGATTTTCTCCGCTTGTCAGCTGTAAATCTAAAATGGCTGAACATGAATAACAATAAAAGTAATCTATATTTCAAGAATTAATAATAATATGTTTTTTCTAAATTAATATTTCTAGATATTTCTAGATGGTTTCTATCTGGATATTTCAAGATTAATGTATCTGGATACATTTCTAGATTAATGCATCTGGATATTTCTAGATTGATCTATCTGGATATTTCCAGAGTAATGTATCTGGATATATTTCTAAATTAATGCATCTGGATATTTCTAGATTAATCTATCCGGATATATTTCTAGATTAATATATCTAAATAAGTCTAGATTGATATATCTGGATATTTCTAAATTAATCTATCTGGATATTTCTAGATTAATCTATCTGGATATTTCTAGATTAATCTGTCTGGATATATTTCTAGATTAATCTATCTGGATATTTCTAGATTAATCTATCTGGATTATCAGACCAGTAAATATCTGAATCCTCCTGAGCTTCCTGTAAACTTGATTTCACAATTCCTTTAGATATATCCGAGGTGGCTTCTACACGATAATTATCATCATCTGAAATATAGAAACTGAATACAGGGTGTCACTGTCCATATAATCATTTAAAGAGCTCGCCCTATATAAACATTGATCCATCAATCTGATAGGTGAGAGACGACACTTGAAGATAGTTTTCATTTATTTTTTATTTTATTCAAATCTTATTTTTGTGGACACCTATTTGTTTAGTCAATAATACCTAGATATCCTCCAGTCTTGTTGACAGCCATTTCCCTTCCCATTCCTTCCTTTGGAACTTTTCCTTTTATTCTTTCCTTTGTAGTTCCTCCTTTCCTCTTCTCCACCGCCCTTCTATCCACAGTAGCAGCTTTGAATAGAAGGTTTTGACCCCAGCTGGTTCCAACAGATGCTTCCACAAGTCCTGCAGCTACGGCTAGTTCTCCAGCAGCTCCTGCTAGTCCTGCAGCTCCAGCTGCAGCAGCTACATTTGGTTCATCTGCTGCTACGACTATTTCACTATTGGCAGCTTTTTTGGGATTAGTTTGATTTTTCTTTTTCTTAGATCTTGTTGTTCCCTCCCAGTTCTCATCTGAACTCAGTGAACAACTACTTCCACATCCACCTAAATCAAGTTAAATAATGATTGATTAAAGGGACTGTAAGTGTAATTTTGAGTGACCCTACATGTAAAGAATGCAATGCCCGGTTTCCAGCGGTATCCGTAAAGGCTTTATCTCATCAAAAATATAGAAAATACCATTGTTTTACTGACTCGAAAAGTGTTAAATTCTGATAATTTCTCCGCTGCTGCTTATGAGCAAGAAATTCCCAAGTCCCATTTTGCAGAGAAACCGTAAATAAAAATGAAGTAAACATGAATATCCAATTCAAACTTTATCAGATAAAGCTTTTAAGGGAACCGTTGTGAATCGGACATTGCCATCTTTGCAATGCATGGAGGGTCACTTGAAATACGCTAACAGTCTCTTTCAGTATATTTGTTTACAGTGTATAGGCCTAAATATCAATATAATGCTGACGTATCCTATTGCAGTGTTGCTTTCTAACTAATTACAATACAGCACTGCAGTCACGCACCTCTGACCCTTCAGTAAAAGTAAATTCAACCTAAAGTCTGATCGCGTCAACCTTGTTGCACCGGCTAGTCCTATTGAGTGTCTGCTTTATTTATCCAATGTCCGGGCGATAAAGTACAAACTGGGACCAGAAAGGCTGACCCGGCACGGAAATTCAATTGTACTACTGCTGCCCGTGCAGTGCTCACTGCTCATTGTATTAAATTGTATTGCATTGGATATAAAGGTTAACTACTGTACAGAATTACCCATATGCAAAGATCTGTATATCACTGAAATATAGCTACTATCAAAGTTAGTCATTAATATATTAGACAGGCTCAACTTTAAAGTGTCGCAACACCTTAACAAACTCACTAATACTTTTTGTAGCCATAGAAATATACAACGCTTGTTTCTAGTTTAAGTTTAAGTGGAATAATTGGAAAAATATTGTTGTGCTTTGCGATAGAGCGTACAAGTCTTCGTTTGCACTTATATTCTTATAAGTACATGGCAACGGTCATGGATAAGTAAATACCTGGCTACAGGCCAGGATAAACGAATACCTGGCTACTTTACACCCTCATGGATAAATGATACCTGGCTATTATACGGACATGGATAAATGAATACCTGGATACTATACGGACACATGGATAAATGAATACCTGGCTGTTATACGGACATGGATAAATGAATACCTGGCTACTATACGGACACATGGATAAATGAATACCTGGCTGTTATACGGACATGGATAAATGAATACCTGGCTATTATACGGACATGGATAAATGATTATGAATAACCAGAACATTTTTAAATCTTAATTGTAATGATTGTAATATATATAGGGTTTTAATGCGTATTTTTAATTATCACAAAAATGCAAATATATAATAATTGAAACAGAAATTGATTACACGCTCCAAATTCTAAAAATATTATTCTAACAGCTTTGCTACCAACATGGTGCAAGCCTTTGATCTACCAACTATTTTATCTACGTGTCACTTTTGGAAATAACTTGATAAATGCATGAATAAAAAACAGAAATTAATTTCTATTTCAGTATGTATTCTTAAAACCTTGAAAATTACTAGGTTGATAAAGGTCTTGAAATATGTAGACGATAAATAAGTAAAAATTTAAATAGTTTAAATTTTGACTCAATATTTGAACTTTAAAATTTTAAAATTTTTGAGAGTAAAATTTTGCATATTTCTTGATTGATTAAGAATTAAACAATCAAAACTTTCATATCGAACAGAATAATAAGCTCATTTAAGCTCATAAAGGTCTAAGAGGTGCTGTATTTTTCGACCTACGGAAATCAGCTATACTCCGCTTCTGACCTACGCTAAATCCGCTATACTACAAATCCGACCTACTAGCACCTGGTTTTACAGCTGCTATATGGACTTGTGGCTGCAGCGCCCGGCCCCCTAGCCTGTCCTAGAAGCGGCGCTCGGCCCCCTAGCCTGTCCTAGCCGCAGCGCTTGGCTCAGAAATTGTCTTAATCTAACTTTACCCTCAAATAATACAAAAATTAACAACTGGCGTAGGTCCAATATTGCAGTAGGTCGGAAAGTATAGTAGGTCGGAAGTTCAGTAGGGGAGGATGTTGGCGTGGGTCCAATATTGCAGTAGGTCGGAAAGTTAGTAGGTCGGAAGTTCAGTAGAGGAGGATGTTGTGTATAGACGATCTAACATTACCGATTAATTTCATAGCTTGAAATATCAACAGTCAGCGACATAATACTGCAAAGTTAAAATAGATAGAAAGTTAGAGTTTCTATTCTACCTGATTCTTCATCCGAGCTTGTAGCTTTTAGGAGATGTATATGCCGGCCCTGCAGTACATTGTTTATATTATATGCAGTACAATTGTAATAATTGAAAATGCCTCCTGTTGAATATCGGTAATGTCGTTGTCATTGTAATGATAAAAAGACCGACCACACTATGTATGTCTTCTCTGTGCTTAATCCTATTTAGGCTTTTGCCTCTTCTCTAGATATAAACAGTGCACATTTCATAAAACTGTGCACATTTCATAAAACTGTGCACATTTCATAAAACAGTGCACATTTCATAAAACTGTGCACATTTCATAAAACAGTGCACATTTCATAAAACAGTGCACATTTCCTCTAGAATTCAATATGTGTATTGGATAGACCATTTGAACCCATAACTTGAAGCTTACAGTTGTCTTCCTTTTCCAAAATATTATGGTTGGTTCCCTCAAGTTTTTTAATTAACTAATATTTTAAATATTTCTCACTATCATCATTTCTTGTCTAAATTGTTATATTGATATATATTAATACATTATAAGTTTGTGCGCTAATGTTTTTAACTAAATTTTCCTTTAAGGCCTGTCTAAATTAGGCAAAGTGCTGTGTAAGAAAAGAAAATAATTTCAAAACAGCTTTTTTTCAAGTATTTTTCTATTTTACACTATGCCAAATTTTCAATATTAAAAAAATTGGCAAAAATTGTATTTTGTAAATAGTTTATGGATAGTTTCAAAGTTAAATAATTTACCAAGTTTTTAAAGGTTAAAAACCGAACTAATACAAGTCACTATACCTGTGCGCCGGTCAGTCGTTAGATTGTCCAGATAAACAGAACTATACCTGTGCGCCGGTCAGTCGTTATATTGTCCAGATAAACAGAACTATACCTGTGCGACGGTCAGTTGTTAGATTGTCCAGATAAACAGAACTATACCTGTGCGCCGGTCAGTTGTTAGATTGTCCAGATAAACAGAACTATACCTGTGCGCCGGTCAGTCGTTAGATTGTCCAGATAAACAGAACTATACCTGTGCGCCGGTCAGTCGTTAGATTTTCCAGATAAACAGAACTATACCTGTGCGCCGGTCAGTTGTTAGATTGTCCAGATAAACAGATTTATACCTGTGCGCCGGTCAGTCGTTAGATTGTCCAGATAAACAGAACTATACCTGTGCGCCGGTCAGTCGTTAGATTGTCCAGATAAACAGAACTATACCTGTGCGCCGGTCAGTTGTTAGATTGTCCAGATAAACAGATTTATACCTGTGCGCCGGTCAGTTGTTAGATTGTCCAGATAAACTGAACTATACCTGTGCGCCGGTCAGTCGTTAGATTGTCCAGATAAACAGAAGACGGAAATATAAGATTACTTTTCTTTTCAAGTGTAGTGTTGTTCTTTCCTAAAAATACACAAAAAATAAACTTTAAATTCAATTTTTTAGATTCATTTAAAAATGATGTTCAAAAAGTCCCAAAAATTATATTCGTTTTATCTAAAAATTTTAATTACAAAAATCTGGAAGCTTTAGAATAGACATTAGACAGTCATTTAGCAGACAAAAAAAACAGATAAAAGACATTTTTAACTTTTTTGAAGCAATAAAAAAATGTCCAAAACTGTGATTTACGACAATGGAATCGTTTTTAAGGAGTGACAAACTTTTATAAAGGAACTGAGTTTTTTGCCACAAATTCTGATTTCACAATCGCTATATCTTTGCAACCTAATAGTGTAAACCTTTGAAATCTAAATTTTTTTTCTTTCTAAATATCAATTTGAGTATTTAAATTTCCGATTGGATGATGAACTTTGCTCTAGTAATTCTCGCGCAATATACCTGTAAACCATGTTCCTAGTTTAGCTCTGCTATTTGTACCATTTTCGCTTCCACTCGATCCTAAAAAGAATAAATCATTAAGAACAGAAATACAGTAACAGGAGCGTTTTCAAGAATTTGTCCAGGGGGGCCTATCTTTTCTAGAGTAGGGGGGGGGGGGGG